ATTAAGAGTTAACATAAATCCTGAGATAATGAAAAGGGCCTATGATACTTGGATTATACACATGTATATCAAATCACGTAAAGAATGTTAGAGAACCTTTCTTTCTTATTAAATTATTCATGTATAGTTAGAATATATACATATGTGTATATATATGTATGTATATACATACGTGTGTGTGTGTGTGTGTGTGTGTGTGTGTGTATGTATACATGTCTGGTGTCTGTTATTTCTAAAATAATCACTAGAGTGAGTGAATATCTCCTTTTGGCTGCCCAATATCCATCTTCCTCCTTCCCTATAAGAGGACCCAGAGTTTCCCTAGGAAAGCAATCCTTCCCCATTCCTAGTTATATATTTGATTGGTACCCCATTCCCAGCCAATCAATAGATCTCATTTCCTTAGTTGCAGTGACTGGTTTAAGAATGAACACTTAATCTAGTCTTAAGCATATAGCCTCTAGATCATAGAGTTTAGTTCAGAGATAGGCAAATCACCTAAACTGATCCAAATGAAGTGAACTTCAGGACTTTAGTCCCAAATGCTCTATTTAGTGATATGAGAATGTAAAATTGAGAATGCTGCAGCCATTTTGTAAACCTAAAGAGAACCAGTCTAAGGACTGAGACAACCCAGAGGAAGCAATATGGAGAAAGGAAACCTGATAGTGTTTCTGACCCCTACATGCAGCTGGATCTACTCTAGGTTGTTAAGAAATCATTGCAAAGTCCAATGTCATGAAGTTTTCCCCTTATGCTTTCTTTTTTTTTTTTTCTTTTTTTGAGACAGAGTTTCGCTCTTGTTACTCAGGCTGGAGTGTAATGGCATGATCTAGGCTCACCACAGCCTCCACCTCCTGGGTTCAGGCAATTCTCCTGCCTCAGCCTCCTGAAAAGCTGGGATTACAGGCCCGTGCCACCATGCCCAGCTAATTTTTTGTATTTTTAGTAGAGATGGGGTTTCACCATCTTGACGAGGATGGTCTCGATCTCTCGACCTCATGATCCACCCACCTCAGCCTCCCAAAGTGCTGGAATTAAAGGCCTGAGCCACTGCACCCAGCCATGTTTTCTTATAAGAGTTTTATAGTTTTAGGTCTATGTCTCTGATTCATTTTGAGCTAATTCATTTACATAAATTAAAAAGTAAAGCAAGAGTCCAATTTCATTCCTTCTCATGTAGACATCCAGTTTTCTACAACCCTCTTATCACAAATCAACACTAACTGACTTTAGGTTAGGGAAAGTTATCCAAGAAAAACTTGCTACTTAGATCTAACTTTTCTTTCAAAAGCCTTGATCATTTATGTCATTGTAAAAAACATCAGTATTAAATATCCACTCAATTAATTTATTCCATTCAAAGATGCGGTTGGCTCGTTTTTCTAAATCTAAGTTCTTGCTATGTAAAACTGCTTTAGGAAAGTATTCATACCTAAAGATCCAACTACTGGGACAGTTTTGTTTTGTTTTGTTTTCCTGAGAAAGTTTTCAAGTGGTAGCTGGTTTTAGAAATTTTAAATTTATGTATGACTTTTGTAGTACTTGGTAATGTACAGGTACAGGTAAGAAATAGTCCCCACAGGATCTTGTAGACCTGGGAAGGGGGAAAATCCCATTTGAGGAGAAAATCTAAAAACAGTAAAACCCTCAAAAACTTTTACCATTCCATACTTTCTGGAAAAGAGAAGATACCACTATTCTCAAATCAACTGTCAAATGGGTAACTTTGGTAGCATTAATTTTTCTTGCTTAAAATTATAAAATAGGCCCAGTTTCAAAATTTTCCTATCAGCATTATCACTCATAAAGCTATTACATAATGCATAAAAATTAAAATAACCCTTCAAGTAGTCAACATTCTACATTATTGTGCATCAGAACAAATTCTGCTGAAACAGATATCTTATTTCTTCCTATTAGCCAAATAATTTGCTATGTACTGTAACCAAAATATAAACTACAACAATATTGTGGTAAATACAATACATTCTTAGATCAAAAGAATATTATTTCTTGTCAAATTGAAAATCATACTCATCTAACCTGAATGGCTACATTGGCATACAAACACTGCCACCCTTTAAAAACAGTTTCTAGTCTATTACATTTTAAATACTATCCAATATACTTTAATATTAATATACCACCAAATTACTTTCTTTTTTTTTCAAATTACTTTCTTTGTAGAACAAAGGCAAGCACTTTACAGCTTGTAAAGTGACTAATTCTTAATGTTGTCAAATTGAGTTAAGCAATTTAACTCAATTACTAAATGTACCAACTTCTTAAAAAATTGTAGCAATTAAAGAAATTGTTTCACTGTCTATTATAATGAACATAAATAACTTGGTTTAAGCCAAGTTGTTTGGGCAGGCTAGCTTTTTACTTTTTTTCAGAATACTGCTAGATATCCTTCAAGTCACAGTCAAATCCAAGTTTTTGTTCACAGCTTGCATTCAACCAAATTGAAGAGTACTTGCTATTGCAAAGTTGGACTTCCTCCCTTCTCTGATTTTGAACTCATGCTGTAAAAGTACTGCACACTCTTAATTTTTCATTATTGCTACCATTGTCATTGTTAATGGTGGCTCTCACCATAGTCAAAATAACATTGATAAACTTGGGCAGCTTTCAGATTCACCCATTGCTTGGACTGGCCCTATACCATGCTTGCTAATGAAAATCCAACTCTAAGTCTCCTGAACTTGTTAGAAGTTAGGACGGTCAGGATACAATGTTTGGCTTTAGACTATTATTTTCTCTTTAGGAAGTAAGGACATTGAAATAAATGGACACTTTCTTTCTAGTCTTAAGTTGAATAAACTGGTGATCAAAACCAAAAACACCTAAATAATAAGACTTACTGATTCACTGTAATTATTCATTTTCAACTCGTAGCTCATTTTTATCAATAAATTGAGGTTATTCACCCTTTTAGTTGAAGATAAATGATAAACATATTAACTAACTCATGAAATCATAAGAGGTAGAAAGAATATAAAGTGGGGCAAAGTTGTGGATTTCATTTCAACTATGGTGTCAAAAGACCCTTTTCAGAGACCCAGGTAGATTGTTAGAAGCCATAAGATGTCCCCTAGATTCTTCCCGGATTCTCGTTACACCATTTGCCATCCTAATTATTAACAGTGGCCCAAAAAAGATATTCACATCAACTCCCTGGAGCATGTAAATGTTTCCTTATTTGGAAAAACTGGTCTTTGGAGATGTGATTCAATTATCTTGAAATAAAGAGATTCCCTTGGATTATCAAAGTTGGTCCTAAATACTATTACAATCCTCTTTATAAGAGACACACAGGCAAAACACACACAGAAGAGGAGAAGGCAATGTGACCATGGAGGTGAGACAGAGACTGGAGAAATGGAGCCACAATTCAAGGTGGTGCCAACAGCTACCAGAAGCTGGATGAGGCAAAGAATGGATGGATTATCCTCTAAAGCCACCAGGGGGAGTGTGGCCCTACTGACACTGATTTTGGACATCAGCCTCCAGCACTATGAGATAATACATTTCTGCTGTTTTAAGCTACTCCCTTTGAGGTAATGTTACAGCAGCCACAAAAAACTAATGTACTTATCCAATGTTACTCCCAGGAGAATTCATGATATTTATCACAAGTTGTAATTATTTGCTATTTTATTTATCATCTGTCTCACTCCCCTATGTAAGATCCATGAAGGTGGGGCCATTCAGTGCACACTCAGTCTCTTAGCATAGAATTTGAAACACCTTATGTTCCTAGAAACTGTTAAAACAATTAGTAGGTAAATGTCCCCCACAAACTTACCTACATAAGACAGAGACCACGTCAATTGATCACAATTGTCAAAGCCTCCAGCACAAAGCCTTGCAAGAAACTGCTGTTGAATTAAATTTGATGGTCTAGAAATCAGAAAGTCTGATTCTAGACACTATCCTGCAATGTATAGCTGTGCCACGGCCCCACTTCTATTTCCCTTCCATCTGTTATTTGGCTTAGAATGTTCAAGAGGGTTTATTCCTTACCTGCTCTTCTTTTCTTTGGTAAGGAGCAGGTTCAAATAACATTCATTTTTGCATCCCTTACATAATCCATAGTAGTTGGCATATGATAGGACAATAAATGTTTGAGGGTTTCGGGTGAAGTGAAATGATACTGGGCCTTAGACTAAAACATAAATGAAACCCAACACTGTATCCTTGAGTAAATTCCTAATAACTGTGAATCTCAGTCTTGTCAAATGAAAGGAGACAAACCCTCACCTCACAGAATTGTGAACCTGTGAGCCACTCGGCCTACAGCAGGGATTTTATGAGTATTAACCTATGCCATTGACCTAACTCAGCCATGAGTACAGCATCAGACAAGAATCTCTAACTGGTGCCATATGAGTTTGGCCAAGCCATTTAACCTTTCTGAGCCACAGTTCCTTAGCCAAAAATTAACAATTGTACCTTCCATGTAAGAAGTGGTTCTGATCTAGAAACTAAATAAAGTAACAATAGTTACACTTAAGCAAGTGCTAGTATCGATAATATAAGTTATTTTCAACAAAAACTCTTGGCTTCCTAGGGTCTTCTGAAACAATGAAAGGGTCCAGCAGACCCTCTTACTGCCTCAACGAACCCAAATTTGGGGACCTTCGAACCAAAGACCTCGTGAGGGCTCCATGAGTCCATGACTGTATCCTTCAGGAACCTACCAGTTATCAAAGTTTACCACGAGTAGAGATCAAGCGGATGTAGCAGGTACACTAAAAGAGTCCAGTACCTGGCATAGTCCTAATCCACGCTGAGTTTAGGCTTTTTAGGGGGCAGAGGTCATGACCTAAGGGGAGTGCTGGTCACTGTTTGAAGCCTCCACCATTTCTTCAGGAGTCCCGCGGTTGCCTGGGCAACGCTACGTCACCGCGTAGCTTCCCGTGCCCGTTGGCGTTAAGCCCAGAGAGCGCAATGCGCAGGCGCCCGGTGGGAACCAATGGGCGTGGCCGGAACGCTGGTGGCGCTCGGCGTTGCCCTCTCGCTGGTCGGATTTCGGGGTGGGGCGGCAGCAGCAACGCGCCCGCTTTTCTAGGCGAGCTGGCGGTTGTCGGTGGCTCCGCTAGTCGCCCCGTCACGTAGGTTACGCACACAATCACTCCCTAGGACGGCCCGGAGCCCGTCCAGGCAGCTGCGACCTCCCCAGACCCGGGCACCCTGGAGGCTGGGGCCGCAATGGTGCGGGTCGAGGGCCCGAGATGGAGCTGACCAGGGGCCGGAGGGGCTGAGAAGAGCCTGCTCAAGTTGGGGCCAAGCACGAAGCCCTTCCCCGCCCGTCGGGCTCCTGGGTTCCCGCCAGCCGATTTCCAGCCGTCAGGGTCACGCCACTCGCTGGAAACCCTGAACTCTGTGCCCACAAGCCCTGAGACCCCTGCGGGAATGTTCAAAAATGAGTACCAGGTAACCCGAAGCGGTTCTCCAACCTGTCTATATTTTTCTCCTCTTGGGTAAGGTAGCCCGTGATCAGGGTGAGGATAAAGTGCACTCGCTACCCCCCATAATAAGGTCTTTTTCTTGAGGAAGGCAGAATTAATGAGTGAATGCTATTGACCCAGAGAGAAAGAAAAGTTACCCAGAGAGAAAGCAAAACGAATGTCTAGGGCCTATGATTTGGCTTTTGTTCACTCTCCAGCTCAGTGTTTCTTAAGGTGTGTGAATTAATTGTCTGTGATTCTGTTTAATATACAGATTTTAAGCCCCCCTGAAACCTCCTGAATCAGAATCTTGAGGGCAGGGCCCAGAAATCTTGAGTTTTAACAAGCGCCTTCGAGACTCAATATTCATTCAACACTGGTATCTCAGAAGCAATTTAGATGAGTGAATGAGTGAATCGATGCATTAGTTACACCAAGAAAGAAAATAAGCACTTTGGCTATAAGCTGTTTTATTTTTCCAGAACTGGGAATCAGTGAATCTCAGACATTGGAGTACATCAGGATTTCTTGGGGTACTTGTAAAAATGCAGATTTCCTTATCCGAATCTCTAGATGGGAGTCACTTGATTTACCTTTTTAACTACTTCCCCCAAGTGATTCCTCTGCAGGGGATCCAAGGCTTACACTTGGAGAAACACTGCTTCTGGGTTGTCCTCAGTAACTTTGAGTATCGTAGAGTGTCTCCGTGCGTGACCTGCTTTTTTTTACCTCAATGGACATCTCCCTACTGCTCTCCCTTCGTCACCTCTGCATGAGGCTACACTCGTTGTTTACAGTATGTTTACGATGCTAGTCCGGCTGTTCTGATGAAAGTTTTTTACTGTATCTAATCAGTCCTCCACTGGTCTCCACCTCTTTATTGCTTCTGCCTTTTCACCCAACACTACCTGCCTCCTTAGGAGTGTCCTCGGAGTAGTCTGCAGTTCTCTTTCTTTTATCCCATTCGATATCACTAATTGGGCTGGAACACTTTTAGAGATTTTGTCTCACTTCTTAAAGTATATTATCAAAAAAAAAAAAAGCATGTGCCCACTACAGGGAACTTGGAGAACATAGGAAAGCAAAAAGCAGCAGGGAGAGTTTGCTGTCTCATCAAGTATGAGGATTTTTCTCCTTTAAAACAACTAGCTGTCTCAAATTTAAAATTCATAGTGAAATATGACCTGCCCTCATAAGCTATGGTAATTCTATCCCATGTTACAGTTTGCACATAACTCTGGCTAAGGAAGAACATATTAAATGTCTTACCTTCAAGTGTTATGTGTTACAACTCAGAGGCAAAAAATATCTTTATATTACTAAGGAAAATTAAAAGCTGGAAATTCCTTATAGAAATTAGATTTGCTCACATATTGTTTGTAATTCAAAGCATAGTCTTCATATCAGATTCTCATTTTTTGCAATAAATTATTCCTCAGAGATAAACATCTTATTTAATTTCCCTTTCTTTTCTTTTCTTTTTTTTTTTTTGAGACGAAGTCTCACTCAGTTGACTGGCTAGAGTGCAGTGGCACGATCTCACCTCTTTCCAACCTCCGCCTCCCGGTTCAAGCAATTCTCCTGCCTCAGCCTCCCGAGTAGCTGGGACTGCAGGTGCATGCCACCACACCAGGCTAATTTTTTGTATTTTTAGTAGATACGGGGCTTCACCATGTTAGCCAGGATGGTTTCAATCTCTTAACCTCCCAAAGTGCTGAGATTACAGGCATGAGCCATAGCTCCCAACCAATTTCCGTTTTTAAAAATAATTAAAGCTTATGGACATTCAGTAATATCTTCAGTGTGGTTACATAGTGTGTCCCTTCATGTTCTCATGTTTACAATGGGGAACCAGTAGCCTGTCTGTAGAAATGATATTTGATTTCTCTTGTACAGATTTTGTAGATCTTCACATTAATTTGTATTACATATATAAGAATATCTTGCTCAAAATAAGACTTCTCTGAATTCCTCCCAGGCCTTTTATAGACTAGTACTAAACTATTTAATTTCTCTCCCCATTTTTTGAATATCTGAGAGTGCTGTTGAGCCCCTGCTGTGAATTGAGTATTGTGCTTGAGGGTTAATGTTTAGTATCTTAGGTAATCCAACAACCCATTTTATGGATGGAGAATCAAGAAGTTAAGTAACTCTGAGGTCAGTTATTTAAAATGCCGGTATTGGAGCCCCAGTCAGTATGACTAGGAAACTTGTATTGAAAGAATACTGCCTGAATGTATTGGCCTGATTCAAGAATTTGGTTTAAACCCCTTAGTGTGGGTTGCAAAACAGTCTGTAAAACATAAAATGTTTTGCAAGAATGATCTGTATGCATCAAGTGAATGAGTCCCACACTGAGATACTGTAAGTTTTGTATGGCACAACTTATTTAATGTTTGTCATGCTTTAAAAATAGATTCTTTAAACCATTAATCCATGGTGACCCAAATCAGAATGGTTGTGGTTTAGATACAATCAAGGTATAAAGTAGGAGTAATAACAGGGATAATGTTTCATCCCAGATCAATTTAACTGACAGATGCTGTGGACACTGGTTATAGACTGTGTGTTGGATAATACTTCCTTGTTAGCCTTGTCTTTTACTTTAAATATTTTGTTTTCATTTTTTAGGGAGGTGCATTTGTTGAAATTTTCAGTGCTCAAGGAAAAAATCCTGGAGCAAAATGGAAGATCCTTGGCAGTCCATCTGTGATTTGGAAAGTAAGTGTTAGAAATTAGAGCCACGTAAATCAGGGGAAGAAATGTGAGTGAAGGTTATAGAAGAAAGGGCTTGATCAAATTTCAGAACTGTTTTTCCTGTTCTTTTCCTCCAAAACCCTTTCATGACATTGTTGGCTGCAGCTGTCCTAGACACCACTCCTCAGTTGTCTAAGACTTTGGCACACAGGTCATAACCCTCCTCTGTACTCCATGCCCTGCTATATATCATTTTAGATGACTTCAGTATCTGTAATAAAAACATCTCCAAGCCCTGGGCTTCTCAGTTTCTTGATTTCTTCATCTTTAACAATCCTTTCACTCTGCTTCAGCATTCATCCCTACTGTCTTACCCTGGTCCTTATCACCACAAACTATAGGACCTCTGAAGTTAGTAAGTGAGACATTGAGATGTCGTTTTCTGACCCCAATCTTTATTCTTAAGGTCACTTGCTTAGTTACTCCACTCTGTTCTTCAACTTCATTGGGACCTTTAGACCATTGACTTTTCTACTTTTCCTGTGTTTCATTGTATTTATTTATTTATTTTCTTTGTCTTCCTTTTCTCTTCAGCCCAGAATCTATCATCCATAATTTCAGTCACTTTCCAGTCAAGACCTTGAATGCCCTTGCACTTTGTTCTTTCACCAAGTCTCTGTATTCTAGTTCCCAGCAAGTCTCAGAATAAGAGTACTAAGGTTTCAGCCTACTTTTAAGTCATTTGAATATGGGATTTTTTTCCCTGTAGATCTGAAGTTTCAATTTTATAGTAGAAGCCAAAAAAAAAAATCCTTTGATAACTACTGTTTTCATTTTTTTCTATAGGAGTTTGATAAAGAAGTTAAAAGTTTTGTGTTTGTCCTGGAAGGCAGCAGCCAAACAAATAAAATTCAATTACCAAAGGAAAATAAGCAAATCCGTAAGTAATATTTTTAATATTGAAATTTAATATTTTGGACTCAAAGTTATGCTTTTATGTCTCATAAACAGGCATGTTAGTATGAGTGCTACTGACATCTGTTTATGTAAGGCGATAGAATTTTTTTTTTTTTTTAATTTAGAAGGTAACTCTATGCTAGGCACTATGCTAGGCCTTTTAAAAAATATGGCCAGGTACAGTGGCTCATGCCTGTAATCCCAGCACTTTGGGAGGCTGAGGCGAGTGGACCCCAAGGTCAGGAGTTCCAGATCAGCCTGGCCAATATGGTGAAACCCAGTCTCTGCTAAAAATACAAAAATTAGCTAGGCGTGGTGGCTTGTGCCTGTAGTCCCAGCTGCTCAGGAGGCTTAGGTAAGAGAATCACTTGAACTCAGGAGTCTGAGACAGGAGAATCACTTGAACCCAAGAGACAGAGTTTGCAGAGAGCTGAGATTGAGATTGTGCCACTGCACTCCAGCCTGGGTGACAGAGTGAGATTCCTTCTTAAAAAAAAAAAAAATATATATATATATATATATATGTATACACACACACACACACACACACAAATTATATATGTGTGTGTATATATATATATATACACACGCATACATATATATATGTATTTACCTCACCATCTTCCAGAAATCTAGTATTTTAAAGAAGATTTAGAAGAGAAGAGTATTTAGCAGCCATTAATTGTGATAATAATAGTATTTATTGAGCACTTACTGTGTGCCAGGAGCTTTGTAAGCATTTAATATTTATGAACCCTTAATCCTCATGATAGTTCTTTTACAAACGAACAAACCTAGGTTGGTTCCTCATCAAGGCTAAACTTTGAAATCAGGGTTCCTAAATTATAAGAAATTAATTTATGAGAAAAAAATGTATCAGAAATATGATATAAAGCATTATTATTATTATTATTTTATTATTTTGAGAAGGAATCCTGCTCTGTGAGATGGCGGTCACCTCCTGTGGAAGTCTGACCTGTAGACCCTGACTCAAGGACCGATGAATGAACCCACTCTCACACCATTACAGTGTTTCAGGTGGGCTAGGGATGGCCGTTAGCTGCTTTCAGAAGGTGAAATGCAACCAATCGACCAAGACTACCTGTTCTTCCACACATTTATTCCCTCAAGATTTTATAATAGAGGTCCTAAGTTAACACACTTGTGGATAATTAACATGGTTAAGACAACGGTTTTATGACTGGTAAAAGCTTTAGGTTCTGGGGACCCAGAGTAAATGCTAACAGGTAATTCTCCTTTGATCTTACCCAGAGAGGGCCATCCAGCACAAAATTAACAAGAATAAACAGTTAGAATGGAGACGAAGGGATGTGGGGTAAGGCCATTGATCTTCTCTGTCTCTTTCTTAGCTAACGTTAATGAGGCAGCTGCCTTCAACCTGCCTCAATAAAACTTTTTGGCCTCCAAAAGGTTTGAGATTACAATCTATAACTTTTCATAATAATTAATATTGCTAGCCACCCCAAGTGAATATCAACAGCTCTGTCACCAGGCTGAAGTGCAGTGGCATGATCTCAGCTCACTGCAATCTCCACCTCCTTGGTTCAAGCGATTCCCCTGCCTCAGCCTCCTGAGTCTCTGGGATTACAGGTGCACGCCACCACACCTGGCTAATTTTTTGTATTTTTTTAGTAGAGGTGAAATTTCACTAGTTGACCAGGATGGCCTCTATCTCCTGACACATGATCTGCCCACCTCGGCCTCCCAAAGTGCTGGGATTACAGACATGAGCCACTGTGCCTGGCTGATAAAAAGCATTATTTAGTGATATGTCAACTCATATGCTTATTACCTTTTAATATTAATCTCTAATTAAAGTATAGATATGAATACGTGATTTAACAAAAACCCAAAGAATCTATTTAAATTCTTATTTACTTTAGAAATTAAGATCAGCATTTTAAAGCAGAAGAAACTCTGAGAGATAACCCAAATTTATCAGAAGCCCAGTTATTAGCAGAGACAGAGTTACAATTCAAGCCTCTGCCACTAAATCAGACTTTGAGTAAACTGATTGATTAAGGAATATGATTTATCAGAATGATTAACTAGATTTTTTATCAACTGTGTCCTATGTTTTAAATCTAAATTTCAGGTGATTTAGAAAATAGAAATAGTTGTTTTTTATATTCATCATTTACTTATTCCTTCATTCATTAGGACATTTATTAAATATCTACCATGCCCGAAGCTCCATAAAAAGACCTGCTGTTGGTACCTGATTTTATAATTTTAAGTCCGTTTTCTAAACTTATATAGGTTCTGTACTTTACGTAACATTTGTACCATTTCAAGCTACTGCATACATATTTTAGATTTCTAAGACATAAACTAGCTATAGAAGTTATAGATGAAATATGATTTATTTTAAAGTGGTTTGCAAATGTTTCTTTCTAAACTAAGAGACTGGAAAGAAGAGATAATCATCATTAAAAATAATTTTTAATTTACTGCCATTTAAAGATTATGCTTTCCTAATAGTTTGTGTGTGTCTGCAATAGCAGGTGTTTTGCATTTCCATATATATTTATACTTACAAATGAGGTAAACGAAGATGATCCAGGGAAACCTATCTGAAACTGTAGTTTCATCTTGTTACAAGAGTCAGGGGCCATCTTTTCAAGGATATTGATTTTGTAAGACAGATGGATACATTTGACTTTCAGGAACATGACTTTGTTCTTAAGCCAGTGTTACTTCTTTTGTTTTTTTTTTTTTTTCCTAACTTATAAAGCCCACCTGTGTTTTCATTTAGCGCACTCAGCATCTATGTACATGGTCACCTTATTAATAAAATCAATCACTTTTAGTAACCTTTGTCATTTGATTCTGAGAAAGATTCCTCCTCTACTAAAGGCTAAATGATTAAATATAAGCTCTGCTTTTCTGTTTTTATCTGAAGGTTTTTTTTTTTTAAGAAACAAACCAAGTTTAATGTGTCATAATTACTTTTTAAATGGAAAGATGATGGTTTTAATTGTTTAAAAAACCTAAGAAACAGAAGAATCTTTTAATGTATTTCTTGTACAATGCCCTAAATTAAAATCTGGCTTTTCTATATCATGTGTAACACTGTAACAAATGAAACAGTTTATGTAGTCTGCCCTGCACTAATGCCTTTAAGATTATTTGGAATTTTTGATAACAGAAATTTATAGCTGTTTTTACTTATGTAAAACGACATTCTATGTGAAGTTGGTATAGTTAAATTTAAATTAAATGACATGCCTTGAATAGATAATTAGCTTTTAATTAACATTTCTAAATTCAATTACCATTATGTATTCCTATTTTAAAAGTAAACATCCACTTTATTTATGCAAACTTGACATTAGACACCCTATTGTGTTTCTGACTGTATTAGGTAGTATTTGCACTTTTCATTTTAAGAAATCATATTTCTGATTTAACTTGTATTTGAGATCTCAAGCACAAAATAAAGGAAATTGTGATAGGCGATAGTACTTATCAGACTGTGCACTTCTCTTTGGCAGGTATCTTCCTGAATCATCTGCTTTGTACCCCGTAGTGCCGGGTACATGGTTGCTGTTCAACAAGTTTGTTAAATTTGCCATATTATGAAACTATGACAATTTGGGTCCTAATTTTTCATTGTAACCAGCTGGCCTTGATAATGAGACTTGAGCAAACCCCTCACCAGCTAAATAAATAAATCCCTGCTGCTCTTCACCCTGGAGCATGTTATATAGAGCTGCCCATATGAGAAGCAGCTCTGTCACACATATGTCATTCGGAGGGTCTTCTTCAGAGCTTTCTGTTGGAGGCTCATATTTGAAACCATTGTTTTCTCTGCCTGTGGCATCCGAATCAAATGATGTCTTGGGGGATTAGCATCCCTGAAGCCTGGCATTGTTCTTTTCAGCTGCTCTGAGGATGAGGTCACTGGTATGAGGTTTCCCCAGCCCTCCTCAGGCCCCCACTTCAGTATCATTTTTATCTTGTTGTGACTTTCTCTGTTTAAAACCCCTCAATGGCTTTGACCTGCCTCTATTTTCCTGAATCCAGTGGACAGTTCTCAACCCTCACCTTTACATATTAGTAGCATTTGAGAAAGTTAACACCTTCTTATATTTTCCTCACTGATATCCAGGATGTCCGTACTCCTAGTTTTCTTCCTGTTTCGCTGTTCTTCTTTCTTAGCCTCCTTGTGTAGTTCTTCCTCTTTTCCCCAACTCGACTTAATGTTGCAGTGCCCCTGGACTCAGTCCTTGGTACTGTATCTACACTTATTCCTTTGGTTTCCGACTCATGGATCTCAATGTCATCCCTGCCTTATTCTAGCTTACATTTCCAGCTCAACTTCTCTCCTAAACTCTAAACTTCTTGAATATCATCTTACTTATTTGACATTTCTGTGCTTGGACAGCTTAAATATAGTATTGTCCAATGCCTAACTTCTGGTGTTTATTCCTCGAAATTCCTCCTCCTGCAGGCTGCCCCATTTCTGCTGTTAGCAACTTAATCTTTTCAGTTGCTTAGAAAAAAAGGTTTTAAATCAGCTTTGGTTTTTCTTTCTCTTCATTCAGTCTATCTGGAAGATTTTGCTGACACTATGTTTAAAACAGATTGAGAGTCTGATCACTTCTTGGTACCTCCAATGCTACTGGTCAAAGCCACCATTATCTCATGCTTGGATTATTGTAGTAACTTTCTAATTGGTCTCCCTGTTTCTGACTTGGCCTCTCTATACGATCTGTTGTCAAATTAGCAGCCAGAGTAATACTTTTAAATTTTAAGAAACATAAATCATATTATCCCTCCATTAAAAATCTCCCATCTCTCTCAGGTTAAAACCTACAAACCTATAGGACTCTGCAGGATCCGGTGCCCTTCTTAATCCTGACCTATCTCTTTTTCTTGTTCATGGTGTTCCAACTATACATGTACCATTGCCGTTTTGAAACATATGCCAGTGCACTGTCACCTTGGCATCCATGCACGGAATGTACCCTCTACCTAGAGCATTTTTCCCCCGGAATGGACATTCAGTAAATCTTTGTCAAATAAATGAATGAATGTACGAGTGGTTTACCACTGATTTTAGGATGACTTATATTCTTCACATGATCTTCAAGACCCCACATAATTGGATTTGTCTCTACTTTGTCAGACCTGTCTCCTGCCACATTTCCTCTTTTGTCTCTCCTAGCAGCCCGTTAACCCCTTTTTAGGTTTATCCAATCTACTCCATCCTTTTCCGTTATAGGATGGAGTACTCCCTCCGCCAGCAACATTTGTTCCTCTCTCCTACACCCGTCCCACTTGCCCAGTCAGTTCTTGTATATTCATCCCAGTTGAGTTTCAATGCTTTTCCTTCAAGAAAATCTTCACTAATCATCCTCTTCCCCTTCAAGGACCAGGGTTATATCCTTTCATAGCACCCTGACCTTCTCCTTCATGGAACTAGCATATAAATTTTAAAAGGCAGAGACTATGTATGTTTTATTTACTGCAAAAACTTCAGCATTGAGTCTCGTACATAGTATGTGCTCAGTAATCTTTATTGCATGATAGACCTAATTTAATCCATATAAATAATTCTATGTGTTGTAAACCTAAATTATTAACCAGTTTTAAAAGATTAACTAGATGATTCTATTAACCCAGATGAAAAGTAAAAGGGCCCACAAAGGTTTTCTAATTTGCTCAAGGGACGGGGAATAGCCCATAATGAAGGGATAACTGATTCCTGTTTTGTGGTTGAGGTGTGAGAAAAAATAGGTATTTTGTTTCTGGAAGACAACAGATTATAAAACTGTAAAGAGCTGCATATTTCAGGAAGAAACTAAATTTTTATGAATTTTATTACTTGATGGACATTTTTTGACAGAATTTCCACATTCGGCATTACTTAGAGTGATTTTTAAATATAGTGTAGACATGAATAGCCAGTTTAAATATACTAAGCCACTGGAAAAGAAAAGTTACTATAGAATTTATTTAGTATCTGACATATAGGATCAGTCTGTGTCAAATGTTATTAAAATACTTTTTTTGGTCAGATCATCACCATATGGTATCGTCATATTTCTTTTAATCTTGGAAATGAAGCCTTTTGGAAACTAGGGCTTCTATATGTGAGAAAGTTGAATTACAAAGCTTTCTTTTTATGAGGGTATAATTCTTTTATATCTAAAAATGCTCATAAAAAATGCCCGGTGTGTGTAACTCTTTGTGTTTGAAGAGAACAGTGCTGATTCAGTGAGATTTATGACATAAATTAGGGACCTTTTTTAAAGACTGGTTTCACTTATCCTGCTGTTCTCTTAGCTCCATTTACAGAGGCCATTGTGCAATGGAAAAATACTGTGGAGCTAATCAATGCAAGATGCAAGCGAGATTGATTGAGGATGGTTTATTTAAGTTGGCCTCATTTTGGTATATCACTTTGCTGTTGTAGACCAGAGCTCTGGTTGCCTCACTGGCTTTTCCCATAAATATGGTAAAATCATATTTCTAAAGAATTTTCTAGGGTCAAAGCCTGTTATCTCCTATTTCTGTTACATTGCTTAATCTACTGATGGCTCCCTGGCCATCAGTAAAAGCTATCCCTGTATGTCTGATAAAAATGTTAGGCATTTTAAGTAAAAGTTATCCCTATATGTTTGATAAAATGTTATGCATATTTGATCAAATATGTTTATTTAGAAAGTAAATTTGGGATAAACATAAGAACTGTTTAAGTTGTTCAGGAATATTGCAAAATGGGAGTCATAAACCAGAAGTTCTTTATATAGACTATCCAAAAATGTGTGGTTACTTTAAAATCCCTTAATTTGTTAAACATTCTAGGTAGGAATAATATAAAATAGCATGAGTTTTAGACGAGTTGCCTTTTTTCTTCTTTAATCCACATGCTGGTCTGTACTGTTGGCTTTGTAGGAGAGATAAATCAAGACATCTTCATTTTCTACCCAAAGTTCCATAGCAGGAAAATATGTTTGTAGATTGCATGTTTTAGGAAGTGTCATACTAAAAACATCTGTTAAGAGCACCATAATTGAGAGATCAAGCAAAAGTTCAAAACCTAAGAGGAAAGGCATTAGGTGAACAGGTCTGGAGAGGTAATATAAAATCAATTGATTTTTTAAGCAGTTGTAGACTTCAGCTGTCAAAAGTGCTATAGGGACTGATTTCTCTGCAAATATTTTTAATCCAGATGAAGGTAGTAATAGGGAATAAAAGCTGTCAGTGCTCAGTGAACATTAAATTAATTAAATATATGTTAATTAACAAAAGGTATAAATGACAATATGTTCCTCTATTAATCTCATTGTGGACACATTTTAAACCATATTAATTAGCTATGGCTCATCAAACCTTCAGTTGTAGTTGTCATAATTAGAATTGTTTTTCTTGATCTGTTGTTTTTTATTAAGTTGTTTAGTACAGCTAAAACTGCCAGTGAATGAAAATAATTGCCACATGCTTTTATGGCTGCCTTGAAGGGAATCTATAGTTCAATTTTATATGTCTCTGTTGAATGCAGTTCTATGTGTACATTCTCTTACGACCTAATAAAAATAGTAAATTAAAACTTATTATTTTAAAAATTTTAATAAAAATTTCACCAAGGCCACAGATGGGACTTTGAAAGACAACATTTGTTATGAGTTTGATTTTATTTTCATCAATTTTTTTACTTTGATAATGAGATTGTAATTCATAGAGAGTGCTATTGCAGTTCTGTGTATTACCAAAATGTTAAAAGTTTCAGCTTGTTGTTGGTATGTGATTGTGTTTGTTTATATGCACATATATATAAATGCTTTGAACATTTGAATATATATTTCCCCCTCTCATTCTAGTTGGATTGATCCAGAGGTTTCTTGTACTTCAGATTTACGTACCCCTGGGACAAGACTTCTCCACCGAATTGCTGTAAGATATACAGAACTTCTTTGAATGTTTTATGTGTATTAGACATTTGATCAATTGAAGCAGTACCAACAACCATTAATTGCAAGTTGCAGTTTTTGCATTAAAGAGCAGTGACTTATATCAAGTCAACATCAAGTAATTAAACTAATTTAATCGTATTTTTTAGATACTACTATAGTCTGGCATTTGCCTAGGGAAAGCAAGCAAATTTCATCTGTTTAAGAAAATATCAAAGGATTATTATTTTGACAATACGTGACCTATAACTTGAAGAAATACGTTATTCACAAGTTTCAGATTTGGGTTTGAATGAAGGGTACTGTTATGTTTTGTACTGTCTGATATTCAAAACTATGGTTGGTATAAAATTGATTGAAATGTCTTATTTTAATAATATTTACTTTGTCTAGAAGTATTAGTTCTTTCTGCTTACATATAGACACCTTGCAATATATTTGTTTTAAGTAACCATTCTAGATTGTTTAGCAAAAATGAAAATATACAGCCTTTACTTAGTTGAGCTCTCTGTTGTGTGAGATGTTACTGAGTATGAAAATAACATTTGATTTGTACACTTGCATAGAATTGAGTATTGTTTAAGATTTTATTAATGAATTTACATACTTTAACCATTACATTTAAGGCATGCTATTTTCTAATTTTTCTTTGTAATTAATAGCTGTCCAAGGTCTGAACTTAGGGTTTTTATTTTCCATGCTGGAATAAATGATTTTTCTTATGAATGAAAATGATTTTATACTACTTTTTCTAAGTAAGAGATGATTTTTTTTCAGTGATGTAATCAAACACGCAATATTTATTAATTATGGCTACATAGTATTCCGTGGTGTTTATGTGCCACATTCTCTTTATCCAGTCTGTCATTGATGGGCATTTGGGTTGGTTCTAAGTATTTGCTATTGTGAATAGTGCTGCAATAAACATACACGTGCATGTGTCTTTATAGCAGAATGATTTGTAATCCTTTGGGTATATACCCAGTGATGGGATTGCTGCATCAAAAGGTATTTCTGGTTCTAGATCCTTGAGGAATCACCACACTGTCTTCTACAATGGTTGAACTAATTTACACTCCCACCAACAGTGTAAAAACGTTCCTGTTTCTCCACATCCTCTCCAGCACCTGTTGTTTCCTGACTTTTTAATGATGGCCATTCTAACTGCTGTAACATGGTATCTCAATGGGGTTTTGATTTGCATTTCTCTAATGACCAGTGATGATGAGCTTTTTTTCATGTGTTTGTTGACTGCATAAATATCTTCTTTTGAGAAGCATCTGTTCATATCCTTTGCCCACTTTTTAATGGGGTTGTTTGTTTTTTCTTGTAAATATGTTTAAGTTCTTTGTAGATTCTGGTTATTAGCCCTTTGTCAGATGGATAGATTGTTAAAATTTTCTCCCATTTCTGTAGGTTGCCTGTTTGCTCCAATGAGAGTTTCTTTTGTTGTGCAGAAGCTCTTTAGTTAATTAGATCCCATTTGTCAATTTTGGCTTTTGTTGCCATTGCTTTTGGTGTTTTAGTCATGAAGTCTTTGCCCATGCCTACGTGCTGAATGGTATTGCCCAGATTATCTTGTAGGGTTTTTATGGTTTTAGGTCTTACATTTAAGTCTTTAATCTCTCTTGGGTTAATTTTTGTATAAGGTGTAAGGAAGGGTTCAGTTTCAGTTTTCTGCATATAGCTAGCCAGTTTTCCCAACACCATTTATTAAATAGAGGATGTTTTTCGCATTGCTTGTTTTTCTCAGGCTTGTCAAAGATCAGATGGATTGTAGATGTGTGGTGTTCTTTCTGAGGCCTTTGTTCTGTTTCATTGGTCTCTATCTCTGTTTTGGTACTAGTACCATGTTGTCTTTGTTACTGTAGCCTTGTAGTATAGTTTGAAGTCAGGTAGTATAGGGCATCCAGCTTTGTTCTTTTTTGCTTAGGATTGTCATGGCTATGTGGGCTCTTTCTTGGTTCAATATGAAATTCAAAGTAGTTTTATTACAATTCGGTGAAGAAAGTAAATGGTAGCTTGATGGGGAATGTTTTTCCCTTTGCTTGTGTCCTCTCATTTCTTTGAGCAGTGGTTTGTAGTTCTCCTTGAAAAGGTCCTTCACATCCGTTGTAAGTTGTATTCCTAGGTATTTTATTCTCTTTGCAGCAATTGTGAATGGGAGTTCACTCATGATTTGGCTCTCTGTCTATTACTGGTACATAGGAGTGCTTGTGATTTTTGCATGTTGATTTTTGTATCCTGAGACTTTGCTGAAGTTGCTTATCAGCTTAAGGAGATTTTGGGCTGAGACAATGGGGTTTTCTAAGTATACAATCATGTCATCTGCAAACAGAAACAATTTGACTTCCTCTGTACCTGTTTGAATACCCTTTATTTCCTTCCCTTGCTGATTGCCCTGGCCAGAAGTTCCAATACTATGTTGAGTAGGAGTGGTGAGAGAGGGCATCCTTGTCTTGTGCCAGTTTTGAAAGGGAATGCTTCTAGTTTTTGCCCATTCAGTGTGCTATTGGCTGTGGGTTTGTCATAAAGAGCTCTTATTATTTTGAGATACATTTCATCAATACCTAATTTATTGAGAGTTTGTAGTATGAAGAGGTGTTGGATTTTATCTGCATCTGTTGAGATATCATGTGGTTTTTGTCATTGGTTCTGTTTATGTGATGGATTGCACTGATTGATTTGCTTATGTTGAACCAGCTTTCCATCCCAGGGATGAAGCTGACTTCATCGGGGTGTATAAGCTTTTTGATATGCTGCTAGATACAGTTTGCCATTATTTTATTGAGGAATTTTGTATCGATGTTCATCAGGGACATTGGCCTGAAATTTTCTTTCTTTGTTGTGTCTCTGCCAGGTTTTGGTATCAGGATGATGCAGGCTTCATAAAATGAGTTAGGGAGGAGTCCTTCTTTTTCTGTTGTTTGTAATAGTTTCAGAAGGAGTAGTACCACTTCTTCTTTGTATCTCTGGTAGAATTCGGCTGTGAATCCATCCAGTCCTGGGCTTTTTTTGGTTGGTAGGCTATTAATTACTGCCCCAATTTCAGAACTTGTTTTGGTATATTCATGGATTTGACTTCTTTCTGGTTTAGTCTTGGGAGGGTGTATGTGTCCAGGAATTTATCCATTTTTTCTAGATTTCCTAGTTTATTGTGCAGATGTGTTTATAGTACTCTCTGATGGTAGGTAGTATTTCTATGGGATCAGTGGTGATATTGCCTTTATCATTTCATATTGTGTCTATTTGATTCTTCTCTCTTTTCTTCTTAATCTGGCTAGTGGTCTATCAATTTTGTTAATCTTTTCAAAAAACCAGCTCCTGGATTCGTTGATTTTTGAAGGGTTTTTTTGTGTCTCTGTCTCCTTCAGTTCTGCTCTGATCTTAGTTATTTCTTGTCTTCTGTCAGCTTTGGAATTTGTTTGCTCTTGCTTCTGTAGTTCTTTTAATTGTGGTTTTAGGGTGTTGATTTTAGATCTTTTCTGCTTTCTCTGTGGGCATTTAGTGCTATAAATTTCCCTCTAAACACTGCTGTAGCTGTGTCCCAGAGATTCTGGTATGTTTTGTCTTTGTTCTCATTGTTTTCAAAGAACTTATGTATTTCTGCCTTAATGTCATTATTTATGCAGTAGTCATGCAGGAGCAGGTTGTTCAGTTTCCATGTAGTTGTGCAGTTTTCTTAATCCTGAGTTCTAATTTGATTGCACTGTTGTCTGAGAGACTGTTGTGATTTCTGTTCTTTTATAGTCACTGAGGAGTGTTTTACTTCTACTTGTGTGGTCAATTTTAGAATAAGTGTGATGTGGTGCTGAGAAGAAAATATTCTGTTGATTTGAGGTGGAGAGTGCTGTAGATGTCTATTAGGTCTCTTGGTCCAAAGCTGAGTTCAAGTCCTGAACTTGTTAATTTTCTCTCTAGACAGTGGGGTGTTAATGTCTCCCACTATTTGTGTGTGTGAGTCTAACTATCTTTGTAGGTCTCTAAGAACTTGCTTTATGAATCTGGGTGCTTCTGTATTGGGTGCATATACATTTAGGATAGTTAGCTCTTCTTGTTGTGTTGATTCCTTTACCATTATGTAATGCCCCTCTTTGTCTTTTTTGATCTTTGTTGATTTAAAGTCTGTTTTATCAGAGACTGGGATTGCAACTCTCCTTTTTTTTTTTTTGCTTTCCATTTGCTTGTTAAATATTCCTCCATCTTTTCATTTTGAGCCTCAGTGTATCTTTGCATGTGAGATGGGTCTCCTGAACACAGCACACCAATGGGTCTTTAAGCTTCTTCCAATTTGCCAGTCTGTGTCTTTTAATTGGGCATTTAGCTCATTTACAAATAAAGTTAATATTGTTATGTGTGAATTTGATCCTGTCATCATGATGCTAGCTGCTTATTTTGTTCATTAGCTGATGCAGTTTCTTCCTAGTTTTGATGGTCTTTACAATTTGGTATGTTTTCGCAGTGGCTGGTAGCAGTTTTTCCTTTCCATATTTAGTGCTTCCTTCAGGAGCTCTTTTAAGGCCAGCCTGGTGGTGACAGAATCTCTCAACATTTGCTTGTCTGTAAAGAATTATATTTCTCCTTCGCTTATGAAGCTTAGTTTGGCTGGATGTGAAATTCTGGGTTGAAAATTCTTTAAGAATGTTGACTATTGGTTCCCACTCTCTTCTGTCTTGCAGGATTTCTGCAGAGATATCCCCTGTTATTCTGATGAGCTTCCCTTTGTGGGTGACCTGACCTTTCTCTCCAGCTGTCCTTAACAGTTTTTCCTTCATTTCAACCTTGATGAATCTGACGATTGTATGTCTTGGGGTTGCTCTTCTCACGGAGTATCTTCGTGGTGGTCTCTGTATTTCCTGAATTTGAATGTTGGCCTGTCTTGCTAGGTTGGGGAAGTTCTCCTGGATAATATCCTGAAGTGTGTTTTCCAACTTCGTTCCATTCTCCCTGTCCCCTTCTGGTACACCAGTCAAACGTAGGTTT